AGGGAGAGTCGGCATATCGGAGGTGAACAGGTTGAATAGGATGGGGCCAAGGATGCTTCCTTGTGGAACCCCGGCACCGATGTTTAAAGCAGCTGATAGATAGTTGTTTATGATCTTCACTAGGAAGATAGGAAGTCCGTACTGCTGCAATTTGAACAACAGGCCATCATGCCAGACATTGTCGAACGCTTTTTCAACGTCCAACAACGCCATGGCAGATGTTTTCCCAACAAACTTGTTCCGTATGAGAATGTTTGTTACTCGAGTCAGTTGGTGGACGGTCGAACGACCTTTCCGAAAATCAAACTGTTCCTCGAGTAACAAGTTGTTTTCATCGGCAGATGTTAGGAGCCGGTGGTACACTGCTCTTTCGAACAGTTTTGATAACCCTGAGAGAAAGCTGATTGGTCGATAACTTGAAGGAGAGGACGGATCCTTACCAGGTTTCCGGATGGGTATGACTTTAGCTGACTTCCAACACGAGGGGAAGTAGCCAAGTCTGAGGCACTGATAAAAAATCAGTGCCAGATGGTTGTAGAATCTGGAACTCAAGTGTTTGAGTTCCAGATTCAGGATGTTGTCGAAACCTGGGGCCTTCATGTTTTTAGATGATTTGATATAGCCCAACAGTTTGTCAGCCGTAATCTCGGATTCGTCTGGAAAAATGTTAGGAATCTGAAGAAGATTGGTTGCATTTTCAGCAACCTCAGATTCATGAGGGCTGACGATGTTTTGTCCGAGATTATGGGAGCTGACGAAGTGTTGACCTATCGTGGCAGCCTTCTCTTCAGGAGTTATCAGATGAACCACTGGGTCGCCGGGACGATCCAGTGGGGTCAGTGGGGGAATGGGCCTAGGCTTGTTTTTAAGAATTTTTGTAAGTTTCCAGAAGGGCGTAGCACAATCTGGGAGAGAGCGGATCTTACTAACAAAATCGAAATTTCTGAGATCCACCAACCTGGCCTGAATGATCTTTGTTAATCGATTACAATTGGTCTTCAAGTTAGGCAGGCCAGTACGCTGGTACTGCCTACGAATGGTGTTACGGAGTCTAATGAGATCTTTGGTAGGGCTGTCAAGGTTCAGAGTGTTACACACCTGTCTGGATACTGGCACGTGTTGTTCCCTGGCCCGGAAAATCGCCTCCTCGATGGTTTGTAGACACCGGTCAACATCTTTCGACGTCCCCGGTTGGACATCGTAGTCGATGGTTGTGTCGACACAGTGTTGATATTGCGCCCAGTTGACTCGATGGTAGTTGCGCCGGGAAGCTTCGAATCGGTTTACCGAGGATCTAACTTCGGCCACCACCGGGTAGTGGTCCGAGCTCAGCTCCTGAAATGCCACAGGTTGCAAGACGTTGTGTCCCATGTTGCTTACGAAGATGTCGATGGTCGCATGGACCCCATACCGACTCAACCGGGTGGCAGAGTCCGGGGCCAAGATGGTATAGTGGCCCTCTTGCAGGTCTTCATTGAGGATAATGCCGTTTCTATTGCTCCGACCGTTGCCCCAAGCTTGATGTTTTGCGTTCAGATCGCCAGCGATGATAAAGTTCCCGCTCCTCCGGGTGAGTTTGATGATGTCTTTGCGGAGGGCCACTGACGACCCGTCCCTGATGTTGGTTTGCTTGGGGCAGTAGGCCGCGATGATGGTGATTGGGCCAAGTGATGAAAGTTTGGTAGCAGCCGGCAACTGATGTTCCTTCTTGCAGCGATGGCCACTCCTCCACCTCCAGAGCAGGTGCGATCAAGTCTGACGAGCCGGAAGTCGGGAAGGAATACGTTCAGTTCAGGCTTCAAATGCGTCTCGGTGATGATAGCAATGTCGACCTCCTTGGCGTTGAGGAAATCGAGTAGCTCTCTATGCTTGTTCGTCAGTGAGCAAGCGTTCCAATTTTCAATTTTTATAGCTTCACGGTCCATACTTGGTGACGAGTGACAAGGCAGCATGAAGCTGTTCAGATCGAGTCTTGCAGGTACGCATGATGATGATGATCTCGGCCACGAGCGTCACAAGTTCCTCCGAGGTGAACGGAGAATCGTCGACAGATTCACCTGAGACAGCACCAGCGTATGATAAACCAGGGGCGGTGGATGAACCTGGAATTGGCTGGGCCGCAGCAACAGCGAGACGATGCTGAACTGTCCGACTGTTGGGAACCATTTGGATACTCGCGGGATTGGCTTGTTGGTTGTTGAGCGGAAGTGGGGCTAGGTTCGGAACATGTCGACGGGGCTGGAGAGCTGGGTACTGGACTTCCGTTAGTACAGGAGGCGAACGATGATTACGAAGGCGACCGAGCTGGTTGTTAATTGTGGCCTTCCGACGGATATTAATGAACTCCACTCGCTTGGGACATCCGCGATTGGAGGCTTGGTGGTTTCCACCGCAGTTAACACACGTTGGCTCGATGTCATCGACTTGCTCACAGGACGCAGTTGAGTGAGTTCCAGCACACTTGCCGCAGTTTGTCTTCATGTGGCAGTTTTTGGTGCCATGTCCATATGAGAGGCAGTTTAAACACTGCGTTACATCACGATGTTGGGGTTTGTAATGCTCCCAACTGATGATGACCTGAAATAGGTCCCGGATTTTGGATCTCAGAGCCGCAAGACTGGTGGATCCCTTCGTGAAATGCACCAGGAACAACTGCTCACGGAAGCTGGTGTTTTGGTTGGGACGCCGGTTCATCTGGAACACGGCCTCAGGTTGGAGCCGAAGCCACTCCAGCTCGGACTTCACCGCAGCAGCCTCGACCGACGGTAATCCACGCAAAACCACCTTCAGTGGCTTGCTCGATGGCAGATCATGCGTGAAGAAGTCCACGTTGTTGTTCTTCAGGAAACTTCCTATTTGTTTGTACTCCTCCAGGCTGGAGCACATGATTTTGGTACCGATGCTGCAAAGCTTGAAGCGAGGCAGCAGCTTGTGTTTTGCCAGTTCGGCACCCAGCTTGGCAACATCCTTCACCGGCGTGAAAAGCGTGGGATTCCGCTCTCGTCTTGCAATGGGAACGGCGTCACCATCGCCATTTTCTTCCGGGAGTACTGCATACTGGTTGGCTTGCAATACTCGTTTTCCGGCGTCATCCTGCGACGCGCTGGGCTTGATTAGCACCTTCTTTGAAGAGCCCGCTGCTGGCTTATTGGCACGTTTACGCACCATTTGTTTCGTGTTTGCAAGTTCAATTAAACTTGCCAGAACGCGAGAAGGTGGCGACTCAGTGCCTGAAATATTCATTTTCATTGACTGAATATTTGGTGTCTTCAATGCACATCACATTCATTTTCGCTTCCCAAATATTCATTCAGTGGGTTATTGATCAATATTCAATACCAAAAGCAGCCGCATCTCTCTTCCACTGCGAAGCTTCTCATTCATTCAGTTGTTCTACCATTATGTAGGTAGGTATTCTCATTCGTTCTTTGTTGTGGAAAAGAAGAAATGGATCAGGACTGAGCCAGTAAGGGATATGGAGAATGGGTAGTTTTTGTAGGGAAGAGGCGTGTGTTTGGACATACACTCCCGATCATAAGTTTGGGGTCACCCTTGAAAAAACATGCAAATGTATTATGCTCATATCTCTGCCAATTTATTTCCGATTTTCGATCTTTTAAGGTCATTTTAAAAGGTACTGACTGAAATTTAGTTGGTATTTAACTGCTTACATATATTTTTCAATATTTGTTTGCTAAAAATTCTTCTAAAGTTACAAAATTTTCCAAAATTTACGCTGAATGTTCACGACTGATTTTCTCAAAATTGAATCGGTCGAATTTTGAAATGAACGTGGTAAAATAATCCTTGTTGTTTGTGTTTGTGAAAGTATAATTGAAAATTTTAGAATATGCTTTAAATCAATACGGTAGTGATTAAAGTCATTGATCAAAAGTTTGGGGTCACCCCACAGTGTGGTTTGTCGCTATTGAAAGTTTAATTGAATTTTTAGGATGCAAAAATTAGAACAAATGTTAAGCCACATACCAACGTGGTAAAATACATTCATAGCTTTTCAAATACTGCAAAGAAAAAAAAATGGACAAAAAATGCAGATATATGAACAAAACGACCAATCAAGGTCAACCTCAGTATGGTGTAATCGTAAAAATTAGGGGACACCTTCAAAACAGATCCTGAAAATGTTTTTCTCTATATATATCTTCCATTGTTTGTCCAATTTATGTTCTCTTTGCAGTATTTGAAAGGCAATGAATGGATCTTATTTTGTTGCTATGTTGCCGTGCACCAGCTTGGACTTCCGGCCGTTCGGAACAAATTTATTGGTGGTAAGATCAAGATCATAATGATATTGAATCTACTACCAGTTGATTTGTTTAATGCAGCTAAGGATCCAGACTGCGGGATGCTCACTATGCTCCACCTGTTCACTATACCCACAGGAGTGGAACTTCGGATCAGTTGTGCAGTTGTGATAGGCAGAATGCTATGATAGTGTGAGTGCACATAGAAAGCCCGTGTGGAACGCAACCACAACACATCGCTTGTTGAGCAGAAAAAACGAAACACTTTTTGATTCACCGATTTGTTTGCACTTCTTCTTCTGTTCTGTGCTATGCCCCTCCTCCCCCTATATATGCTTAATTTCCAAGTACACTAACAATATCGACAAACCATACTATGGGCATATTCTAAATCTTTCAACCAAACTTTCACAAACGAATTTCGATGGGCGAGTCGATGGGTATAAAACAAGGTTTCTACTACCACTTTCATTTAAAAATTTGACCAACCCATTTTTAAGAAAAACAGTCATGAACAGTCAGTGTAAATTTTGGAAAATGTTGTAGCTTTAGGAGAATTTTTAGCATACAAATATTATAAAATATATTAAATGACTTGCATACGAACTACATTTCAGTCAATACTTTTCAACTGACCTAAAAAGATCGAAAAACAGTTGTAAAATGGTAGAGATATGAGCAAAAAACATTTACAAGTTTTTTGAAGGGTGTCCCCAAATTTATGATCGGGAGTGTATAAGCGATTCGATTGGTAAACATTTCTAAAATTTCGCAAAAAAATGTGTTTTTCTTTCAAAATCTGTAATGCTTTTAAAAAGTGATTGATTGAAATTAGAAATCAGATAATTACATCTGATCCAAGCAAACATGTACCACTGCGATATTTAGCTGTCATTTTTTTTTTCATTACGATCAAGACTATCATTTCAAATAGAAGTTTTTTGATCAAACTAATAATAATTACTTCCAGTAACAAAGATTATTTCCGACAAGAAGACAGGAAATTTGCAGCCATAAGTTTAAATAATATCTTCCTGGATATAACCACCACCATCAATATGGCACATGTATTAGAAGCAAATTTTCATTGTTTATATTTCATTGCAGGTGGAAAACGGAAAATAAACATGAGTGGAAAAATGAGAAACATCCAAAGTTTATTCAGGCAACGAGTTGAAATACCAAGATTTGATCCATCATCAAAAAGGAAGCAAAGATATAAATATCAGGAATTATGATGTTTTTAAACAAGTCAACATTGTTTGGCTTTTGAAATTTTCTGATACTCTATTTATGGTTGAGTTAGCAACGTAATCCAGTATATTGTTGATAGGCAAACGAGACGAATGGGGGTAGATTGGTCAGTTGTTCCTCAATTTCATGCATTTTCACGTTATGGGGCGTACATTAAAAATCAAAACTTTTATTCAACACATTTATTTCAAGAATACCAAGTAAACCATGAGATCAAAAAAAAAAAAAAATTACATAAGAAATATTTTGCTTCATGATTTTTCTTATTCGTTTTAGGTAATCAAAAACCAAAAGAGAGCTACTCGAGTGTAGTACCATTTGGTTGGCACATGCTTGGCATAATCTCTTCGAAAAGGTCCTTGTTCAACTTCACCAGGAGAATACTTGAAAGGTTTTCTTCACCTAGTGTCGATCGATGATCTGTCAAGATAAGCGCCAAAGCACTGAAAGCTCTTTCAACTGATATCTGGTTGGATGGGGTAGCCAGAACAACAGAAGCCACGGCACTTAGCTCAGGATGGGTGGTTCTTCTGTCTGTCCAATGCTTCCAAACATCATGGCTGTGATTTTGTCTGGGCTCTACCTCAAGAGCCTTGAGCTGTTGTAAAAACGCAGAATCCCTAGTTTCTCCCGTTGAAGAAGAGCATTCTCCGAACAGCTCTGTTAAGTAGTGATCAAAGTCATCCTCAGTTGTCTCAGTAGTAGCTGGAGAGGCCACGGCAGCTGATGGTGCCGGGTTTTGATACGATGAAATCCTCTTGTACGTTTCGATTATGTAGTTCTAAAAACACAAGAAAAACAAACAACAATGAACTATTAGTAGTGCAATCGATACATGTACATTACTAAACAGATTCAATTTTAAATATAATTTACCTGTATTAGCTCTTTTTCATCACTAGTAAACAGCTTGGAGCCCATGTAATTCAGTCGAGGATCCAAGTACAGTGCCATTTTGAAAGCTCTGGATGTTTTGAGGTTTTCTATACGATTGGTCAACGCAGCAGTCAACGGAGTAGCAAATGGGTTTTGCGTGAGCTTCGACACTTCCATTACAGCCAGAAGCCATTGCAAATAAAAATCTGGCAATGACACGTGTTCCGACTGCATATTCTTCGTGCAGTAGTATAACGGTTTAAACGCCTGCACATAATTACCAATAAACTCCCAGTCATTAGAGAGATCTGAAAAAAATGATGTCAAGTGTTACAATTTTTGTTGTATACATAAATATCATGGAATATTACCAAGTTCTGGGAACTGCAGGGCCAACTCCTTGAAAAAATTTTCCTGCTCAGTAAAACTTTGCATCATCTTGAATATACCCCCCCAACGGGTTTGACCCCATACAGGAGGGTATGATGCCTTTACCAACTCAAAACTGGGTTTGTATTTGATTTGTTTGCACTTCTTGGCAATATCTGTTACTCGTCTACATGATGCGTTCGACTTGTCAACTACATCCAGAATTGCCAGTTGCAGGGTATGAACCGCACATCGAACGAGATTGAGGTTCTCTTTGAACTCGTTGTTTAATGCTGTGGTGAACTCATGGTCTTCCTTGTCTTGCTCTTCGGTGTATTCTGAGTCCAAGGCCAACAACTCTATTTCCTGCTTGAGTTGTCGAACTGCGGCGAGCATATTGGCTCCGTTGTCACATGTCACTGAGAATATTTGATTTATTCCAACGCCGTAACTGTTCACAACCTCCAATATTTTACTCTTCAAAAACCGGGCCGTTTGACGTTCTTTTATTTCCAGCATTCCTATAAACAAAAACAGTTGATATCCAATAGATTAAAATATTATAAATGATAAATTTACCCAAAGTGCGAATCACTACACTGTCGTTGATTGAGTATTGTGCATTTATGCCCAGTACATGGCGGTTGTGTCTAGAGGCTGAGTCAATTTTGAGGCTGATAAGCCGACCTTTCGTTTCTGCTGCTATAGCCTCGCGAATCCTGCCAGCAATTTCCTTGACCGTAGCCTTCATATTTGTTGGATTCATTGTTACACCAACAGCTGATGCCAAAGGATCAAGGAGTTGCTTAAATCCTTCCCATTGCAAACATGCCAAGGGCATGTTGTGGTACGAAATCAGTTTCACCAATGAATCCATAAACAACAATTTGTCAATTGGTACAGGACGTTTTGCCACAACTCGCTGCTTCTTTGCCGGTGTTTCCTCTTCCTTGGTTAACCCGTTCGCCACAGCCAAATCATGATGACGGGTCCGGAAGTGTCGAATGAAGTTTCCAATGTCCAATCTATCTTGAGTATAGTTGCATGTTGTTCCTGGATCAATGGCACATGAAGTCTTTGCTCCATCTCTTCGAATGAAGCCTTTCGCAATATCGGCGAGAGTCACTTTATTTTCACTACGCTTTTTACTTTTCTTTCCTACACTTTTATCTGCTGTTGATACAGATGTCGACGGGTTTTGATTTTCCATCTTAATTCGGATTTTGTTTACAAAATTACGCAGAGAACCACTGATAGCACTGATAACATTCAACGAAAATTTTCTCTGAACTTCTTCAACGAGTGGAATGCGAATGAACTTTGGAACCAAATGTCATTGACAAGCTTTAAAATACTTGAATGAACGCGGACGCAGCGAAAGCGAACGGCCGAACGACAATGAATGCGTACGTACGAAACAAAAGCTTTTCTTTATTCCTTCACCTCTGTTTATACTCATTCGTATGCAGGAAGCGATTTTGTGTGTACACGAATGAATGTGCATTGCCTTCGGCATTCGATTTTGGGTTTCGAATATTTGAGGCACTGGCTGGCGACACTTCCATGGCGCAACGCGACAGCACAAAACGAAACAAAATCGAATCGAGAACTCGAGCGAAAATACGGACTGAACAGCTCGACAGTCGAGCAAAGAATGGTCCGACTCTGATTGAAAGGTCCCGCTATTTATACCCTTCGGAGTGTTGCAATACCCTCCAAAGGCACGCCCCTTTGTCAGTCAAAATTGGATTCCTTAGCAACAAAATTAAGGTGTGACACCGATAATGACCATGCATCAGAACCCTAGTCTTAACCACTTCAAACTAGGGAGCAACGAATAGAAGATTAGGAATCACATAGGGGAAATGACGGCTTCGGCATGACAGACTATTGTCGGCAACCCAACTTGAAACACTATTTTCACTGGATTTTCTTACAAAAACACTTTCAGCTTCAATTTGACTATATTTTTACCTCTGAGAAAAAGCAATCTAGCAGGGTTTTCTTGAAATGAAACACACGCACTACAAATTGTAGCTGATTTCGATTTGCCGATAATAGAACAGCAGATTTCTATGCAGTTCAAATGGAACGGTTGCCGAAGAAAAACTGGTTGCCGACAATACTCGCTCTCACTAGAGAAGATTGGAGCTTTGTCAAAGCGTTTCAAAACAGTTTTCGACAATTCTTTCGACTGAAATTGTTAGAGCAGCTGGCAGCAAAAGACCAATACTGCTAATGTGTGCGTTCCATAGAGAAAAAGGCTATAGAAAGAAGGTTGCTGCTTAGGTTGCCGAGAATACGTAAATTCCCCTAGATGAATACAACTAACTCATTTTTTTTCCTTGTTTCAAGATCATCCTCGGTAGACAAAGCCGAGTCTTGTCACTATCAACAAGGCATAAAAAGTAACAAGGACTAAGATGCGTTCCTTGGATTACTGAAAATCCTGTTACCCTAGTTTGAAGTAGTCAGGACTAGGAATCGGTGGTAGATCTTACATCCCGTAACGTACCACGAAAAGGTGATCTACCCACGTTACGGGGCAAATTTACCTCTCACCCCAGCAGGCCTGGGTTCAATCTCAGTCGGCACCGCCGGGATGTTCTGAGGCATAACATCTCTGATCACGCCTTCCTTCGGAAGGGAAGTGAAGCCGTTGGTCCCCGGTTCATGAGTTGATGGGTCCGTAGGTAGGGTTTAGATGAGCGAGCTGCCTCCCTGGCGTCGGTAGCATTGGGGCTCATTACGGAAAACAAGATCAACGGAAAAAAAATCAAGGAAAAAAATAGTTCCGGTAATTTTTTTAACCTTACTACCACTGCCCACAGAGGCAAAACATTCAAATTTGAGTAAAAATTCGCTCACGAGCATGACAAGTAATGTTACTGCTTCAACTATCGAGATAAGTTTAACCTTCGTACCAGTCTTCTGCAACGCAGCCGTCACGTTTCCGAAGCCGAAGACAGAACACAGAACCGAAGAAGGGGGAGCCCAACGGATGTTGGCAAACATTTTCGTCACTTGGCTTTTGATTCGTTTTTATAGAGCTGAGGCCGGAAATTCACACTTTAGGATGAAGCTGGAGCTGGAGCTTATTTGTGAGGAGAAGTGAAGAAGAATATTTTTCATACGTTCACATTGAAAAATGTGCTTTTCTTTTTTCTTAGATTTTGACTCCGGTGCACAATGTGTACCAAGGTGCAGCAAAGTCCGGGTTGGAAATAAATTCGGGTTGTATGTGTGAAGACGTGCTCCACGCACCGCAATAGATGCAAGCAGATTTGTAAATCAAGAGAGAATTTCTTCTGCATTGTGGTTGATTTGCATTTGCATGCCGGATAGAGGGTGGCATATTTTTGGAATGAGATATAGGAAACTAAATTGGTCACATCGGACTACGCTCAATGATCTCAATAGGCAGAATGTGATCTCTATCAAATGCAATCAACCATGTCAAAATAAGGAATAGGTTTGGAATAAATTCACTCAGAATAATTGATGTCCGTAGACATGTCATAAAATATTTTCCAATTAATCTACGCAATGGCTGCTGCATCCAGTTCCCATAGAAAAACTGTCACATCTCTTGTTCTCGTTACAATCAACAAAAAGCGAAGGCAGCAAATCATCAGAGCAGTAGCATAATAAACCACATTCTAGAGGGAACTCAATCGGAACACCATCACTCAAATTTGTGCGCAGCGTTCATTCCAAGAATAATCATAAATAATCAGTCGAACGTGTGAATTACCGAAGCGTAATGGTTCGACTCTGTAAAACCTACCTCATCCACAATCAACGGCAAGCCCATTGAACGAAATCCCTCGGTGAAATAGTAAAGCGAGCATGAAATACATGAGTTTCACAAACGTATAAATTTGGAAAACTTCGTCCCTTATCAAATATTGGCAAAAGACGAGGGTTTGAAGATTTTTCTTGCATTTCTCATGATGCAATTATATTCCAACAAACGAAAGCAAAATGTTGAGAACTGCTTACCCCTCAAAATGTAGTTTTTGTAGCAGCATCATCATCATCATCATCCGTCAGCGTCACCCAATCAGCCATCCGCGAAAAATTTGCACCACTAATGTACATAATTCATTGCGCTTCCACGAACCAATTCCATTTCGTCGATCTCTGCTATTGCTCCCTTTTGATCCCCACTTCCCCTCTTCAACCCAGCACCGGATTGTGGCCCAATCAGGCGTCTGTGAATTTTGCAGGTTGTTCAAATTTTGGAATGAAATAAAATATTCCCAAAAAAAAAAAATCAAGCCTCGGCACCAGAAATGGACGTGTACATAAATATTAATCACATTATTCGATAGACCAGGGGGAGAAAATGGCGCACCAAAAACTAGGCACCATCATCGCGGGCGAAATCGGACGGACGGATGGGGACAAGAAGACCTTACCAGTTCAACTTCATCTGTCGGTATATCGAAAATTGGGAATTCAATCATAAACACAAACATTTTGATGAGACCGATGAAGCGTGGTATCATTCGGAATGCAAGCCATGTCCCTACCACCGGAGGACCGGGTACAATTTGGCAGTTAGATTTATATGTTTGTGCTCACCATCATTCACGCCAGGTAGGTAGTTGATGTACGCCAATCGAGGGTAAAAATCAGAATCGTGAAATTTAATTCTAAATTGCAATTTTGATTTGCATACAGATTAAAACACTCGATTGTTATTGTTATGGGCGATTGATGCATTATTGTCTGACTGCATGTGAGTTGGCACAAGTTGGCTGGGAACCGATTTCGCAAGGATGCGATGATGCATGACAATGTTCAACAATGGATTAGCTTTGCAAGGTAATTGGTTTATAACTGAGGGATTTTAATGTTTCGGGAGCCATAATTTTGCGGGATAAGTGCAGATTATGATTGTTTCTGAAAAGGACACTGCAGCGAGCGTGCACTGCACACAATCGGATGATTTGGCACATACCGCATGCCAAGAAAAAGGTATAATGTGAAGAGATAATTCCATAGTTTTTTTTTTCGATTGATTAACGTGTTACATTTCAATTGATTTAGCCCTAGGGGCTCATGATCTTTGATTTATGGTCTAGTAATTTGTTAGAAGTTTTCGTGCTCATATTAAGGTGGTGATTTCTGAAATTATATTCCTAAATATAGAATGTAAAGCTACCCTAGAATAGTATAGTACTAAATATATTATTTTTAATGTAAAATGTGGATTATGAAGCATCAAATTACTTTAGAAGTATATTGGTTACGATTTTAAACAAAAAATTCATAATGACCGGTTTTTGTATGGAGTCGCCCCACTGTGGGTTGATCAGATCTAGTTGTTATTTTGAGACCATGACAGAAAAGCATAATTTGTTTTCATTCTAAATGCATGATGCGGTTGTAGGGTACAGATGAATCCAATGATAAAATATGCAAGTCTAAAACAATCGAATTACAAATTCTTCGATCGATTAATAAAAGAAAAAAAAAGGGATTGAAGAGGTTCTATAAAGCGCCCATTACACATGTCAATATATTGACAAACATCGTATTGTCAATTTTCCTAACAATATTATCAATACATAAATATTGACAACATTAATGACAATACGCTAAAGCGCTCGTTACACGGGTCAATATATTGACAGAAAATTGACATACTGACAAAATTATTGAAAAGGTAATATTGATGGCGATGGATTGATGACGAGTATTGTTGAACAACTGATTTTCATTTCTCTTTGTCAATATTCTTCCCCTACCCAAGAGGAGGGAGAACGTACGTCATTTAGATCGACTGACTCACAAACAGCGTTGCCAATATTTTTTTTTTAAAAACTGGAAGAATGCTAAAAAAAAACTGGAAAAAACTGGATTCTAAAAATAACTAAATAACAGCAGTATGAATCTTATCCTTTTGTAATAAATCTGAAATTAGATGTATTAATTTGAGTAAATGATGTCTCTTCCTCATACCCCCGTAAAATTTATCATTTCTTGATGAACATTTCAATAGGTCCTATCTGATTTGATCGACTTGCTCCATTGATAATAATTCAGTTGCAAGAATATTCCCAGCTGTGTTTGTCGTTTTGGGCGCTTTGAAATAACCTCATGCAAACACAAAGTATGTGGCGAAAATAACACTAAATGTGCTTGCATAGCCGTGGTTATCAAAAGAGAAACTCGATAAAGAGAATCAATCAATTCAGATAGGACCAATTGAAATTTTCATCTAGATTTCATGGAATAATGCTAATTTATTGACACTAAATGTAATTTAATTCGTCAGCAAAAACGTTATTTTCTGATTCATTGGAAACAAATCGCGCCGAAAACGTCACAGAAATCGTTTAATTGCTGGGACGGTTTTGACGCGTTTTGTCTTCAATTAAACAGACAATCTGATCGTGTAAATTCGCTGAAGTGTTCTGTTTTTATTGTTTTAACGCATACGATGGAAATTGGGGCCATATGACGAATACTGA